AGCCCACTTGCATGCTATGGGAAAGAGGCAGAGTGAAGGAAGAGGTGTTAAACACAAGGAAGAGAGGAGCAGAAAAGGAAAACTGATAGGCAGAGTATATATATATTGTCACATCACTACAAACTAAAAGAGCGCACTTTGCGGAACAAAGAATAAAAGCAAAAAACGGGCACAGTGATAACATGCAAAAATAAAAACAAAAAGAAAAAACAAGGGCAGATTGAAACCATTAAATTTCTCATTCTTCTTTGAACTCCACCTCCACTGTGCCTCTCATATATATATATATATATCATCAAACGGAGCTGCCCGGAGGGAGCTGGGTGAGGTTGGATTTCCACTACAAACAAGAGCACTTCCGCCTTCTCTCGCTCTACTGCCCCAACGCTCGACAGCACAGAGTAGAATTCATCAACTCCCTCTTACCACAGTGCACCACCCCAGCGCACCTGCTGCTGGCAGGTGACTGGAACGCCATGCAGGATCCGGCTATGGACAGGATGGCAGGAGGAGCCGTTGGCTTGGATGGAATGGCATGGGAGGAGTCGGCTCCCATACACAACATCATGGCGGAACAACAGCTGGTGGATCCATACCGGATCCTCCATCCCACCCTCAAAGCCTTCACCTACCTCAAGCGCAACCGCAGCCAGCACACCTCTGCATCACGCATCGATTTCTTCCTCGTATCGGAGAGCCTCCGGGGTGCAGTTCAGTCAACAGGTATTAGCGACCTGCTGTACTCGCCAGGACTGGACCACAAGTTCATCTACCTGCATCTTGTTCTAGAAGCGGCGGTAAAGAGAGGTCCCGGCTTCTTCAAAGTTAACAACTCACTCCTGGACTCACACATTATGAAGCGGCACATACTGGAGACGTGCGAAGACTATGGCACACGCACCACATCCTTTCCACAACTGGTGGGGAGTCTTTCCATGGCCACGGCCAAGGCATCTTGCATTCTGGCAGCAAGAAGATCAGCAAAGGAGAAGGAGATGGAAGCAGTGTTAAGACTAGCTGAGAGAAATCTTGTGGCTCAGCCAGGCTCAACACAGCTGGAGGACGCACTGGACGCCGCCAGACAGAGACTGGCGGAGTGGAAGTGTTGGAAAGATGCAAGCATACGTCTTCGAGCACGAGTCAAGGAGCTGGAACAGGGCGAGAAGATGACAAAGTACTTTTTTCAAAATATAAAATCCAACACCCGGAACAAACTCATAGATCGCCTGTGCACAGGTGACACAGTCGCTTCAGATCCGGATGGCATGCTATCAGCGGCATATACACCTCCAGGGAGAATCAATTGCCACAAGCAGCAGTAAGGGAGGCCAGACAAGTTTCTGAATCATCTAGACAAGACTCTGTCGAAAGAACAGAGTGAAGAACTGGATAAACCCCTCTCTCAAGCAGAAGTCAGAGAAGCGCTACAGTCGCTGCAACCGAACAAGCCACCAGGAAGAGACGGACTCTCCAAGGAGTTCTGGCTAACTTTCTGGCCAATTTTTGAACAGGAGTACATTTCCTTCCTCAGTAAAGCGGAGACAGAGGAAGGACTGGGAAAATATATTAGTACAGGGGTGGTCACTTTACAAAAAAGGCGATCCGACAGACATCAGAAACTACAGGCCGATCACGCTACTTACTGTCGTGTACAAAGTTCTAGCCAAACTCTTGGCCAACCGCCTCAGCAAGATCACAAACCGCTTCTTTCACATTGATCAAACTGGATTCATCCTCAACAACGTCATGACATTGGCAGAGTCAACACGCTACATCAAAGACAAGCGATTGAACGCGGCCATCTTGTTCTTTGACTTCGAAAAAGCCTATGACCAAGTCAACTGGAACTTCCAGCAACAGTGCATGGAACGAATGGGGGTGGGACCCAATTTCCGAAGATGGGTCAGAGTGCTGTATAATGATGCTCACAGCCAAGTACAAGTAAATGGATTCCTCTCTAACCCCTTCAACATGTCACACTCGGTTCGACAGGGAGATCCGCTCGCGGCACCACTGTTCCTCTTCACAATGGAAGCCATAGCCTCCTTCCTGTGCAAGAACCCGTCCATCGGCAGACTGATAGCAGAACCGACTCTCCCCACGCATGTGGTAAACCCTTCCAACCACACTGCTCTTTGCAGACGACCTCACAGCCATTATCAAATCCTCAGGCTGGTGGCTGGCGGACTGCCTGCGACCCCCCCAAAGCAGCCTCCCCTGAGCGTTTCGAGTGGCAAAACCCGAAAACGCCCCTGCGCTTCCTAGGAATTAAGCTCACGGATACAGGACCTGATCAGGTCATGGCACCAGAAATCCTGACGAAGATGCTACGCAAAATGGACACATGGACCAGCACCTACACGTCGGTTTTTGGAAGGGCCCTGGTCCTCATCGCGTCCATCTTCTCCATGCTGTGGTACGCAGCTACCATCTGGACGCCAGAGGCCAACATGGTTACAGCCCTCAAATGGCGTTCCACTGCTTACCTATGGACTGGGAATCCTGCATCACAGCACTTCATACCCAAGGTGGCCCGACTGCACCTCCTCCAACCAAAGGGCAAAGGTGGATCGGGAATCCTTGACCCGGCTACTCAAATCAAGGCCCTTCAAACGAAGTGGATTGTGAAACTATTGCTACAGCAACGTCTGCCCTGGAGTACACTGGCCTTGCACAGGATTAGACAGCTGCCCAAAGCCACCACCCCGCCCAACATGCAAGGGATCTTCTGGTTGATGTCGAAATCCTGGTCGACCAGCAGCAACCCCCAACAGATGGAAGAGCAGCAACAAGTACAACCGCCGACCCGGTCGGAGTATTGGATGTATCTCATCAGAATCTGGCGAGAGATCTTCCCGGCTAAGGTTCGTAGTCCAACCAACAGAGAGGAAGTTCTACGTCAGCCTCTTTTTTGCAATCACTGGCTGAAAGACCCCTCCGATAAACCATGGACCCTGATGGCACAGGATACCCGCTCGGTATCGTGGCTGGAACGCGGCATCTGGCAACTCAAACACATCTGGAACCACCTCTGCAATCGTTGGAGGACTTCTGCGGAGCTCAGAGAATATCTCAAAGGTTGCCACAATTTGGAGGCTAACCTGCACGCGATATTACAATCCATACCACCCGATTGGCTGGCACTTCTTCAGGCCCCGTCCGCTTGGTCCACAGGGGAGTGGGCCATGTGGCAATCACAAAACACCCCCATAGAGGCATTGGCGTATGTTAAGTCAACAGGACCGGCGGGGGAGTGGGGACTGTGGACTATCCATGACATTGAACAGTCAGGGTCCAACGTCAGCAGGGTCTCTAAAACAGTTCGGGCCTGAGTCACAGCCAAACCGATCCTCCTCAGGAAAATCAGAGTGATTGAGGATGACAACTACAGAACTTATCAGTTGGGAACACCCCTGCAGGATCTGGAGTTCGACCCGGCTGAATGGGGATGGAAGACAAGATCCACGCCAACGGGGGTACAGAAGTGAACCAACATCTTAGACTACTCCACCAGCTTCGGCTACAAACTCAGACGAAGACCTGTGAACACGGACCTCATCTTGTCCCAGCGTTGGGAGAAACACATCCCGGGTAGCCTGGGCACCATCGAAAGGTTTGATTGGCAGCTACCTCTCACCATTAGAAACACCCGCATAAGAAGTATGCAATGGCTCATCTATTACCAGGCCTTGCCGGTCAACACATGGCTTTGCAAGAGAAGGTCAGAAATCGCCAGAAGGGATTTTGATGACAGTTGTGCAGTCTGTGAGGATGGAACACTAGAAGATATGCAGCGCTGTCTAATATACTGCCCGTACGCACTAAGGATTTGGAACAGAACGTGGGAGTACTGGTCTGCAATTGTAGGCGCACCACTGCCAGACACCTTGCTGACACTCCTAACGGGTCTGGCACAGCCACGATTCAGTGAGCCCTGGCACCGGACCCTCTTCCTTAGACTTCGCCCCTTCACACTGTGGACCATATGGAAGACACGATGTAAACAGACGATAGCCGGCCAAAATACATCAACCCGGGAGGCCTGGGAGCATGTTCTACTACCAAGCGGATTGGCAACGAGCAGTCAAGAATATCAAAGACGACCCCCCAAAAACGCAGACAATCATAGAGAAATTCGTCAAAGACAGGCTTGGAATGGGCAAACTCGGCACCGTGGAAGGCAATCCCCAAGACTGGTATGGAAGAGGCGGGAAGAGCAACAAGGGAGAGATCCAAGAACAGACCTCGCCTCGCTGGAATCAGAACGATCACAGAACAGCATGATGGACATAAACTCAGCGTCGAAGGCACAGAAGAATCAGAGCCTGCGACATTAGACAGGTGGCTTTCGGGACACAGGTGGAGAAGGGTTTAGGGTTTAAGAAAAGCGGCAACAAAAAAGCGGTTTAGCAGGAGTATAGGCGAGCTAGCTTCAAGATTTAAATGGTCAGCATTGCAATATGAAATAGTTAGGATTGAAACCTTGAGTCTGTAGGAAGCTATAATTGTCTCTTCTTAATCCAGTTTGGTTTTTGTTTAAGAAAAGCATGTAGATCGACAGGATAAAGGGACACTGGACCCGGTTTCCAGTACAAGCCTAATCTGGGTAATGGCCCCAGTTTTCTGGAGGGATTCCCGGCCTCCTTTTGCTCAATAATAAATAAAAAAACCTTCCTAAAAAAAAGAGCTGCCCGGTAAACCGTAAGCAGAGAGGGAGAAGAGGACGACAAAGAAGGGGCTGTGACAAACTCTTTTGTCGGAGTTTCACCGACTCATCAGGAGGCTATATATATATATCGTCACAAACAGAACTGCCCGGTGAAACCGTAGGCAGAGAGAGAGAAGAGGACAACAAACGAGGGGCTGTGACAAACTGTTTCGTCGGGGTTTCACCGACTCTATATATATATATTAAAAAAAAACTTATGACACAGCAGTTTGACTCTGATGAGTCCACCTTATGCCTAACGGTTTTATCCGAGTCCCGTTCACAAGGACACAAAATCAAAAGTTCTGAAAACTGACAAATTATGTGAGGAACGAGACCTTGAACTGTGCTCTTTGTTTTTGAACTGGCAGCAACCCAACAAGCTACCTGCAGGGGCTATGTGCATGCCCCCATTCGGGGACAGACTCCCGGAGAGGTTCGTGGATGCACTTTATTTTTTCTTGGTAAGGGGTAATCTGTACCTGCAGGTTGCTGTGCATGCCCCCGTTCGGGGACTGACTCCGGGAGAGGTTCGTGAATGCACTTTAATAAGTTTAATTTCCTGTTGGTAAGGGGTAATCTGTACCTGCAGGGGACTATGTGCATGCCCCCGTTCGGGGACTGACTCCGGGAGAGGTTCGCGATTGCACTTCAATTCTTCTTGGTAGGGGGTAATCTGGCCACTTTAGGTAGGAACCCCTGCAGCACTCGGGCTCGTAAAAAACTTTGTGATTACGTATGCTTTGCCGCCTGATACCGTCCTTTTTGGTTTTTCTTGCTGCCATAAATATATAAAAAGGAACAGGCCTGTCCTTAGGGACATCCGTTAAGTTAGGAACAATACAGAGAAAGAGGATTAGCATATGACGCCTTTAGATGTTCTAGACCGCACACAATGTACAATTAAAAAAAAAAAAGAAAAAGAAAAAGAAAAAAGAATAAGCCTTCTTCCTAAAGGACGTAATCAAGGCGCCCACTAGGGTATCTCATCAGTAAAGGAGAGAAGTGCCAGAGTGAGTACACATCTTGTGCTTCTTGACCGGCAAGCACGAGCTCAAAGCAAGAGAGTTTATAGGGAAAGGATCAGCAACCAGCTCTTTTTTTTTTTTTTTTTTTTTTTCACCACCATTTCTTTATGAAGACTACAATGTTGTTGTTTTCAATGTTTTGATGATTGGCGGCAGAAGAAAGGCCTTCTCAGGGCATACTCACACTACCACTTTCCTTAATGTATCTCACTGCAATTACGGCCGTACACGGAAGAATCTGACTGCAATCACATCCAGAGCTAAGTAGAAAAAAGAGTGCTAGTGTGAGTATATGCCCTTAGTCAAGACTCAAGGGGCTTTGGTGAATTGTTCCCTCCAATTTGTGTGTGTGCATATCCCTTTGGTTTTCTGTTTTGAACCGGGCTCAATCCGTGAGATGTCGCTCAGTTTTTTTTTCCTTTTTTGAAGTGTTTTCTTTTCCCCTCAATGTCAATGCATGGTTCCTTGCAATTTCATCTGATGAATCACAATAAGCAGTTGAGGGGAGTCCATTCAGCGAAAACCAAGGTACCAACAAGATAACGGGCAAGACATCGAAGTATCAAGAATCAAGATTCAGGAGCTAAATGGAAAGAATTCCGAAAAGTCCATGGATTTCCAAGATGAAATGTGCATAAGTGCAACCCTGTGTAAGAGCACAAAGATGTATATTTATTAAAGAAGAAGAAGAAGAAGAAGAAGAAGAAGAAGAAAGAAGAGGACAAGAGATTCACTTGTTAAGTGCACTAGAAACCTTTCTCACCTGACAGTCACGACGGCGAATGGCAGCTTCTAGACATTTTTCGAGAAAGACGTGCTCGGTTTTCATTGTAACCATCTTCCCCTCCAATGTCTTTATGAAATACTCCTATATGACCGATCACAGGAGGACCACCTTCAGAGTCAGAGTAAATCCTGTATTTCTACACACCTGAAACCGCACACCTCCTCCTCTGCTTATCAAAAGCACAGCAACATACATTGCACACTGGAAATCACAACACTCTTCTTCTTCTTCTTCTTCTTCTTCTTCTTCTTCTTCTTCTTCTTCCTCTTCCTCTTCCTCCTCCACTGCTGCTGTTCCTGCTGCTGATGGTGTTGCAGTGTCGCGCCTAAAGGGCTGCCTGCAGGTGGCAAAAAGACCTTAGGACCTTAAAATCACCATAGTCTAGACATTGTGTTGCCACAGTGATCAACATGACAACATCCACAACACTTCCCCCACCACCATACCCGCTCCCTCCCACCCACCCACCAATCCGCGCACACACACACACATCCTCCTGGCCAGTCGGTGAATGTTCAACGAGTCAGTCTGGCACAGTCATGCTTTTCTTTGTGGAGTTGTGTATGTATGACAACACACACACACACACACACACACACACACACACACACACACACACACAATCAATTTTATGTCTGTCAGTCTTTGTTCTGTTGCATGTCCTCCCTCTGATTTTTTCCAAGTATTCTTTTTTTCTGTGCCCAACTGAACACCCGTAATTAGTGCCAAACAGTCGGTTGTTCCTCGTTTGAAGTGCCTACTGCATTCTTAGGGGGGGGGCTCGGTACGGGATGTCTGTGTTGCCTGTGGGTGATGATGGATACTCGTCGGAGTGACTCCCTGGCTCATTGGGTGGTGGGAACCAACAGTCTGCGGGGTTCAACCGTGATGTGAGTAGGTCATGTGCTGCTTTGCTCCGTGTTGGATGTGTGGACTGCCTCGTCTACGCTCTGCTGTTGCCTTGCTGCCTGTCCCGCTGGCTTCGCATGTGGTTCTCTGCAAATTGCTGCGTCCGCTGCGTGGTGTGGCCGTGTTGTTGGTGTCACCTTGCGCTTCGCTGCTCCGCTGGTCGTCCCTTCCGTGTTTGCCGCCTTGTGTGCCTTGTAGGTTGGTTGCCTTGTTGCTGGTGCCTTGTGCTCCGCTCCACGGTTGCCGAGCTGCTCGTCCGCTTGCCCCGTCGTCCCTTGCAGTGTGGTTGCCTTGCTTGTGTTGTCTTGTGCTTCACTACACGGTTGTCACGCTGCATGTCCTCCGTGCCATGCTGTTCCTTGCAGTCGTTTTTGGCATTGTGCAGCCGTGTTGCCTCTACTGCGTTGCCTGGTGCTCCACAGGGTTGCTGCCCGCTGCTATGTTCCACTTGGGGACAGTCTGCCTTCAACAAGGGTCAAAGGGTTCATGACCCAA